ATGGTATTACGCTCATTGTTTTTCCTTTTATTTTTAAGCTTGTAAACGAAAGAAAACTGTTATTAATGGTGTCCCTATAGGACCTAGGAAGGTCAAAGGGTAATAAAAACGCAAACAAGTAAGAATGGTCTGGTCAATACGGACAATTTTTTCGATATCTCAGCCATTTCTTGACGGATCCTTCTCATCTTCGAACTCGACTGAGATATTAATGAGATCATTCTGTGTACAAAATTTCATTACAATTGGATCAGGCTTTCAGAGGTTATCGTGTTAACGGACGGACACACTGACCGAATCTAGTGTACTCATTTTTAGAGTACACAAAAACATAACTATGAGATTTGGTTTCGGAAAGAATATTTATTAAGAAAACAAAATAAGAAACGAAGATGAAAGTAAAAGAAAGCTGACAAATAATTCAAGTTGATTCTATTTTGAGAACGAAGAACAACTCAAAATGTGACTGGCTCGATATGAATTTAAATGGCTAAAGATGTGATGAAAAAGATGTGTCTACTGACTGATATTCTACTATAGAAAGTTGGGTTTTATTCTGAATGAAAATGAGTGTTTTTGGTATCATCTTGTGATAGATTTGATTTACAGATCAACCATTAGGTATTAATGTCTCTGAATGGAATTATTGAAATAGAGAATGACAAAGCACTTTATGTTTTAGATTGTGACTATCAACCACCATCATAAAAAAAAATATGGCGAACGATGAACTTGCTACTAAAATAGCGAATATTATCGCCTCTCTCGTTCTCGGTGATGTGAATCAACAGAGCAAGGCTTGTACTGATATAGTATCGTTGATGGAAGCGATACAAGCTCAAGATCCAGACCTCGCCAATTATCTTGTAAAAAATGTAGTCGATCCCAATCAACGTCTTCCCACTGGCGAGTATCCTTCGCATGTTGCCACTCAATTGCGCACAAATGCTTGTGCTATGTTAATCGCACTTCAATCGAGTCAAAAATATCCACTAAATCTAAATGTACAAGATAGTAAAGGTGATACAATACTACATGTAGCTGCACGACTTAATAATCCAGATGCTGTCAATTTGCTCTTAAAAAGTAATGCTGATCCAAATATTCAAAACATGGTAGGGGATACACCCTTGCATATCGCTTGTAAGGTGAAAGCACCACAGATTGCTAGGAAACTTCTTGCCGATCGTCGAACCGATCCTACAAAAAAAAATAAGGAAGGAAAAGCTGCCAATCAAGTTACGGAGCTTGCTGAAATTTTAGTGGAGTTCATGGAGCATGGTCTAAAACGGGAAAATGCACAATGTGGAGTACTAGAAATATCACTTGCATGGTCAAATTACAACGATCTGGATCTACATGTCATTTGTCCTCATAATGAAGAAATCATGTTTAATCATAAGTTATCTGCGTGTAAAGGAGGATTGGATGTTGATATGAACGCTGGTGGAGCGAAATCAGAGCAACCAGTTGAACACATAAGGTGGACAGAAAGTCCTCCAACTGGTGAATATAAAGTCTATGTGAATCATTATGCTATGCATACTAATGTAAATGAGACTACATTTCTTGTTGTCATTCAAATCAATAAGAATAAGGTCTGGGAGTACCAAGGTAAGGTCAGTAGTGGACAAAAGATGCTGGTTAAAACATTTTCATATCCATGGCGCTAGACGATAATACGGATAAAATGTCAGTTTCATACTATTTGTTTTTTTGCAAACTGGCATGGATGAAATTTTATTTTTATTTTTTCTGTTTGTACTTTGTAGACTTTTATGTAGTTCCGGCATTCATTGCGAGAATCGGTATATGCCAATGCCTGTGTGCGTGTGTGTTTGAAATGGATAATTTTTTATGTTCATGACACTCGAATAACAACATATTTTCAACTATCCTGATACAAGGATTATAGCTACCATAACGTCAGATATTTCGAATTTTCATGAATCGTATCAAATGACAAACATATTAGTATAAGAAAAGATCATTTGAGAATTTTATATGAATAGATTCGCAGTATCACACGACCGGTTTCAGGTATGATATAGGCCGTATTATTATGGTATATGCTAGGTTGAGAGCATCAGACGACGTTTCGTCCTTGTTCCACTGGATTTTGATTCTGATTTTTTTCAAGAAAATTAAAATGAATGCCAGATAATCTATACTATTCTGCTGGTAAGTTGGTTGCTAAACGTATATTATTGAAAATTTCTGAAATCAAAACAATTATATATCTCCTTCTCATATTACAAAGTGTCGTATTAGGTTTGCCTACAATATGTTAGTATTTAAATCGGAAACTATCAAAATCAGTATGTAATTGAAAGCCGTTGAAAAAGATAGACAAACGCATGATTTCAACAAGAACTGAATATTTCAATAAATTGATCCTTCTTCAAAATCAATCTTTGATTACTTCTAGACAATGTCTTAATTTTAAGATTTCTTAATGACTTATATTCAACTTCCTTTCGTAATGGAATAACATTAGAGCTTTCTATCGAAGATTAGTTTTTGTTTGATCAATGTATAAATGAATGTACAAAAGTAAATTTCCTAGTTAAATAGTTCGCAGTACTATAATACTTATTCATAGGATACTGTTTTATGTCAATATCGCCATTATCACTATTAATATCTAATCATGAATTAATCGATATAGTAAATAGAACGAATTCTTTAAGATGTCCGAGTTTCATAATTGATTTATTATTGTATTAAAAATCAATTATAAAAATAAATCCATGGTAGACCTTGAATCATAAACATTGGTGAGGATGGCAATCAAAATACTTCGAATATACTAAATATATAGTCGAACAATAGCTTTTTAAATTAAATGAATAGCAATTCGATGAGCTATCTTGAATAAAATATTAAGATTCGCTTCAGCTTGATCTAGATTTGATAACTTAAGCTCGCTTTCATTTATATACTATAATAATCTTCCATGAATCGATAAATTCTACTCAATCCATTATTACGTTAATTCTTTAAGATTTGATCTAGAAAATATATCGACAACCTGCTTTTATCATCGAAACCATTGTGTTGAGTAATACAATTTACTTTAATTGTATATCTTTCAAAATAAGACCAGTCAAATATCGCTCTGCTATCAGTTTGTAGTACTAGAAAATGAAATTTCATACTGCCAAAGTATCATACACCTCTCATTCATTAAAAAGAAAGAGGTTCCACTTCTGTATCAATCATGAAATAAATCCTAATATCGGTGTTTCTTTCGATATGTCAGCATTAGGAAATGAATCCTTTGAAAGTATCCATTCATGAGAAACAATACTCGATGATACCATAGACGAATTTCTACAAGCTTCATTTGAATAATAAAATCAAAATCAGTATTAAATGGAGCATCCATCAAAACGATACTCTAATTAGAATTCAAAACTCTTGAGAAAGCAACTACAAAAATATTCATATAATTTGTATCAGATACAAACTAGTTATTCGACCACATCATATATTGTAACATCTAGTAACAGTCACCCATGTAAAACGAAAAAAAAAAACAATCAGTACATCGAACAAGCAATAAAAGTTCCAATATCGCTTATTTTACGTCATGCCATCAAATAAAGATACCAAAATGAATAAACAACAATGGTCCGGTACATGTGCCAGACCCACACTGAGCACTATCGAACCAGAAAAATAAAAATTTCAGAAGCAACCGAAAGAGTAGATCTAACATTTCCCTTGAATAAGACCACAACATCAATACATGAACTGATAACTAGCTGGTAGGGTCACGTGTCCCTTTCCATGAAATAAACCAAGCAAATCTAACGCATATAAAAGTCATTAATATACTTCAAAAATCATAAAAAACTATTCGAAAAAAACCAAAAAAGATTTTTTTCATGACGCGTGACTTTTGCATGACACGATCAGCAAAAACCAGCAGGAAAATCCTTATACCGGCTCACCTGAGATAGCTCTCAAAAACTCTACGCTTTATAAACCTCCTATTTTTTCAAGCTCTATCGAATGACGTTTGAACGAACCTCCTAGCTATTAAAATGGCGATAGGTCATCGAGTACTCTCAAAAAAAAAGAAGTCCCGTTACTATATTCGGTAAAAAACTTCGAATTCTTTCTCAAGATATTCAATTCTGTTCGATGAGTTGTTCATTCTTTGAAATTTCTATTTGAAAAAAATGTCATTT